GAAGTTACAAATATGATATCTGAAGCTGCCTCAAAAAGTATTCCTAAAACTGTAATAAGAGGGAATAAGAGAATGGTGCCATGGTGGAACGATGAATGTAGTTTGGCTGTTAAAGAAAGGAATATTGCCCTCAGAAATCTCAGAAACAACTTGAGTCTAGACAATCTGATCGAATACAAAAGAAAAAGAGCTAGAGCTCGCAAAATAATTAAAATTGCTAAAAGGAATACTTGGAGAGACTTTTGCTCTACTATTGGAAGAGAAAGAGATGTCAGTCATGTATGGAATATGCTCAGAAAGATGAGAGGAAGAAAGGCTGCCAATAAAATATCAGTTCTTGCTAATCAAGATTGCCTAGCAATAACAGATGTGGAAAAGGCCAATGTTTTAGGGAGGATATTTGCAAATGTTCATAGTGGCAATCATCTTACAGACATACATAAACGAAGGAAGGAGGAAGTTTTAAAAGATAATGGAAATGTGTACACCAAAAAGGTAGACTGTAGCTCAGCCACTGATATGGATTTCTCCTTGAGGGAAATGAGAAGGGCTTTAAAAGGCAGCAAGAATTCTGCTCAGTTGAGTTATGTCATGTTCAGACAATTACCAGAGGAAGCACTAGAAATCATACTAAAACTTTTCAATAAGATTTGGTCAGAAGAAAAACTACCTGATGAGTGGAAGTTGGCATTAGTTTTGCCATTTGTTAAACCAGGGAAAGATGCAGCTAATGCTGAAAATTACAGGCCAGTAGCCCTCACTTCACATTTCTGTAAATGGATGGAAAAAATGATTGTTTACCGGCTATCATACGTTTTAGAGGAAAAACATCTGTTAAATGAGAATCAGAGTGGCTTCAGGAAAGAAAGATCCACAACTGATGCATTAATTAAAGTGACTTATGACATTGAGAAGACCCTAAATATGAAGGAAGTGATGGTGATAGTTTTCTTTGAAATAGAGAAAGCATATGATTCCATATGGAGAGAAGGCCAGTTAATTAAAATGAATAAGTTAGGCATAGGTGGACGCTTATACAACTGGATCATGGACTTTTTAACAAAAAGGACATTTAAAGTAAAAGTAGGTTCTGAAATTTCAGATAGTTTCGACATTGTAAATGGAATACCACAGGGCAGCGTCATCGGTCCAATTCTATTTAATATAATGATTAATGATATATTTGAGAATATAGGGGTAGGTATACAGTCCTCATTGTACGCTGATGACGGAGCAATCTGGAAAAGGGAGAAAAACACGCCACATGTTCTGAAATGCATCCAGAAAGCAATAACAGATGTAGCGAGATGGTCCTATGATTGGGGATTTAAAATCTCTGTTTCAAATTCATGTTATATGTTGGTTACTAAAAAGAAAATAGACAACAAGCAGGTGTTGACTCTTTACAGTAAGAACATGGAAAGAGTCAGAGTGTTTAAGTACCTAGGTTTATGGATCAATGATAAATATACGTGGAAAAATCATATTGAGAAAGTTGAGACCAAATGTAAAAAGGTGTTAAAGCTCATGAGGTGTTTGGCCAGTCTGGCATGGGGAGCTGACAGAGAGGCATCACTACACATACACAGGGCTCTGTTGAGAGCCACCTTGGATTATGGATGTATGGTGTTTGATATAGCTGCAAAAAGTCATCTACAAAAATTAGACTTTGCAGTCTGTGGAGCAGTTAATACCACACCCATCAATGCTTTGCTGGTGGAATCCAGTGAACTGCTGTTGAATTTAAGAAGAACTAAATTATCACTAGCATATTGGATAAGAATTCAGGGGAAAGGAAATGGAAATATAACTTCATCTGTTCTGCACAACTGTTGGGAGTACGTAACTTTTACTAGTAAAGGGTTTGGATGGGAAATTAATAAGAAGGTGAAACAGTACAAATTAGATTCCATACAGCATAGTCCAGCAGTTATAATTAGCAGCATTCCTCCATGGATATTTCCACAACCCAAAGTTAACCTGCAAATATTAGACAAGAAAACAGAGTGGATAAAGAATAACCTGAACATAGGATATCTG